ATTGGGAAGACCAGTCGTTTTAATTATACTAGTGGTACTACTGGTATCACTAATACTAACACCGAGGTTAAATGATTAATGCTTATGTTATGCATTTACCACATTCTGATTATTAATGGGAGTAGTACTCCCAATGCTACGATTATGAACACTATTAACACGAAGACGCATCAAACTAAACATGCTAAGAACACTCTGAAGAGGAGGAGGCACTGCACGCCCGTGTACGAGAAACGAGTCCAGGCTTGGGACAGGCACAGCGCGCGGCGGCCGGCAGAAGGGCCCGGGCGTCTTGTTTTGGAACGCGCCGTGTTGGACGTCCAGTATGCGGATGCGGACGGCCCCTGGTTGGAGGACGAGACGGTCGCCGCCTGGCGGCCAGCGACGAGACGGCGCTGCGGGCTGCGGCGCGACGGCCAGGCAAGACTACGCGCAGGGCCGATGGCTAGAAGCACGAGAGGCATCCAGATGAACGCTTAACTGCGTTCGCCATGGAGAGAGACCTCGGGTCGCCATGGAGAGAGACCTGGGCGCAGGGGCGCTGCAGTGGCTGCTGGTGCAAGTGCGCGAGGTCCGGAGAACGCGCAGCCGGGGGAGGTGGCGCGCGCACCTACAAGGTGTTCAGCTGTGCGCTGCAGCTCCAGGTGGCACGCCAGTTTCGGTGCGCCGCTGGGCTGCGCTGAGCCGTGAAGGATGCTGGGCTTGGACTTCGGGCGGCGCTGGGCGGGGGCGCAGGGCCAGAGGCGGTGCGCTGAGGTGGGGGCTGGCAGGCTGGGCGGCGCGGCGCTGCGTGTTGACGGCGGCCCCTGGCTGGCGGGCGGTCGGGGCTGCTCGTGGCCGACTGCGCTGTCGTCCAGGTCTCCGCGGTGCTACTGGGTATGGCTTGTCTATAGTCCTTTCTGGCAGACCCTTCTCCCTTGGGAGTGGCCGCTGTCTCAGACAGCCGGCCGCCCCCAGAAGGGCCCCCTTTTTTGAGCGGCGGCGGAAAATGTTTGCTGGCTCCCATTCGAAGAGCTCCGGCCGCCGTAGAGACCCGCGCGCGCTGGTGGAGGAGGAGGTGAAATGGTGGAGGGTGATGCTGAGGAGGGAAGGGAGGCGGGAGAGGAAGGCGCAAGAAGAAAATGGAGGAGGAGGAGGAGGTGCAGGATAACAAGGAACTTTGCATTTACGAAGGGGGAATATGATAAGGGGCGATGAGGATCAGGAGTGGGTTTCCGTGGAGGTGGATACGGGGATATGGTGATGATTCTGTTGATTGTGACGATTCGGATGATGATGATGAAAAAAGAACAACATGATGAGGGTGTTCTCTCCGACATTGGTGGCAATCGTTTGGGTGATGACGATGATGATGGTATGTACGGTGGCGACGACCATGATGATGTTGATGGTGATGAAGGTGCTGATTTTGTTGATGAGCATGGTCGGGGTGGTAATGGTGATGATGATAATGGTCGCCACGATGCATATGAGGAGTCTGAGGGCGACAGTGCGGATGACCCATAGTGTGGTAACCACCATTGTTCTTTATCGTAATTGCAATGGCGGTGACGTTGGTGTTGATGGTGGTGGTGACGATGACGATATAAATCATGATGATGGTGTTGGCCAAGAGGATGATTATGATGATGTTCATGAGTACTGTGATGACCATTCGAATGTTGACGATAACGGTAATGACGATGGATAATACGGTAACGGTGATTTGATACTATTTGAAAAAAACGGCACATGATGTATACGATGGACATTATGAGGAGCGTTAAGTCGATGTGGGGTTACAACAGTACGCGCGGAGGCTCACTCGGTGGGGATATTGCACAACAAAAAGAATGCAAGGTGGATGTGAAGGAGTAACATCAAGTGGATGGGGAGGGACAATATGGGACAACATGAGCTCAGAAATGATATGGACATGACGCGTGACCACGTCCAGGCGCGCATGAATTAGTGATGTCAGATTGCCCAAACCATGGGACACTGCATGCCCGGAGGCGAAGGATCCATTACTCCAGTTTTACATGGTTCAACCGTTTGTATTCGACCATCACGTATTTTGAATCGGAATTCGAGTTGTCCTCACGCCACTTGCGCGAAACGCCCACGTTTATACTTCGTAGGGTGGGTGAGCGACATTAGTTCGTTTTTTAGGACAAGTTGAACGAGCGTGCCGCCCACAATCACCCAGACTCTTTTCTGAATTGACCTGAGCGTTACAGAAACTACTCACTTGACAGTTTTGCGCTAGTGAATTGTTCTTCCAGTGGCACTGGATCGCATATCTAAGTGAACACTCCGTCCCTGTTGGACGCCTGCGAGGCAACCTGCAGCACAGTCGAGGATTCTAGATGCTTCGCGTCCTCCTGCGCTCTGTTTCTGCCCTGTCGTCTTCGCTCGCGTTTGTTAGGTCGCGGGCCGTTTGTTTCGCTCGCGCCACCTGGCTCCGCTCTCTTTCTTCCAGATGCCGGTCGGTGCTCCACCTGCGGGTCTGGCCTGTGTTCTGTGGTTGCCCACCTGTGGCCGCGTCTCTTCCGCTGGCATCCGCCCAGCGGTTTTTTGCTTGGGTCTACGTGTACTCTACTGGCAGGGTACCGGTCCGGCTCCCACCTGAGGGTGTGGCCTGTGTTCGTTGGTTGCCCAATTGCGGCCGCCTCTCTTCCTAATTTGTTTTGCAGGTGCATTCCGCGCGTTCTCGCGCTAATTATCTTGCGCTGTGCCCCAGCCTCGGTCATACCGCCCTTTGGACACTTCCTTGCAGGCCGCTTACCAAAAAAGTAACCCCGCCAGGCTACCGGCTGGAGGTTGCTCAGCCTCGTGAGCGCACATCAGTGGTGTGCCTCTATTGGATGACGTTCTGAAACAGATCAGCCACACCTTAGCTTCAGTGAGCCTTGGTGAGGCAGGTCTCCCTCATCGCATCATCGTATGCTCGTGGAGCCGCAGTGAGTCTGAGTTAGTTGCTTTCGCGCTCACCCCCCTTTCCGAGGTCCAGGACGGCCTGGCTCTGTGTGCACACGCGTGGGTCCCGCCTGGTCTTTGGCCACTCGTGCTCGCGATCTGCCCGTGGCCTTTACAGTGCCTTGCTGTCCGTCTTGGCCTTGCTTCCAACTGCGGTTCGGCTGGAGCTTGGCGCCGCAAGGGCGACTCCTCCCCCCCGTTCCGTTGCCGGTTGCCGCGCCTTCTGCTTCCCCACAAGCAGTGCTGTCTGGGCCGGTCACCAGCTGACGCTGAAATGCGTCTCAATGAGGGACATTTTGCCCCAGGCGTGTGCATGCGCCACTGCGTGTGTTGTCCGCTGGAATCTGCGGCAATCTCGGGCCACGAACGAGTTTCGCCCGCCCCTGCGGCGGCAATCTTCTCGTCAATTCGTTGGTACCGCGCCCCAGATCAACTTGACCGCTCCCTGTCCGCCGCCTCGGAGCCGCCAACCAAAAAGTAACCCCACCAGCTGGGCGTTGCTGACCAGCCAGTTAGCCCCACCAGCCGCTGCTGCACCTCAGCTGCCGCTTCTGAGTGCTGGCCCGGCGGCTTGCGTGGCGCTTACTAGCTAATTAGGCTGGCCCGTGCCCTGGACCCCCTCTCGCCGCCTGCCCTCTGCTGCGCGGCCGCGACCAAAAAAAGTAACCCCACCAACCCAGCCAAAAAGGATGCCCAAACGAGTTGCCCTGATCACGGACGTGGAGGAGCATGCACTAGAATCTAGGACTGGGTAAGACGTCGTACCCTTGGGGGGGGGATGATGGAGGAACAGCAGGAGCAGGAGGAGGAGGACGACGATGAGGAGGAGGGAAAAGGGGAGGGGGAGGAGGAGGGAGGAGGAATGAGGAGGGATAGGCGGATGAGGAAAGGAGGAGGAGGAGGAGACAGAACGAAACATTCCTGATGAAATAGTGCTGCTTGCGTCAGGCGCCGGATGGGGCGGACAAATTTTGTCCCTTCGGGACAGACAAACGCAAACAATGCTGAGAGCCCACCCAGGCTTGCATCTCTTATTCGGACCACGGGGCGGACCACCAGGAGGAGGAGGAGGGCGAGCAGAAAGGCCAGAGGCCTCATGGTGCCCCTCGGAGTCTTTCCGGATGTTTGTCGAGAGTTTCTTGGAGTCCCCTTGAGGCGTCTCCGAGGTTTTTTGTGGCAGTCCCGGAGGCCTTCTGGGGGGTGGAGTGCCTCTGGGCGGCCTCTTGGGGCCTCTTGTGGGTCTCTTGGGAGCCTGTTGGAGGCATCTTTGGGTCCTCTTGGGGGCCTCGGGGACCATCTTGGCGCCATCTTAGAGGAAATCGATCAACGGACGGGCCGTGCTAAATCAGCCTCCCCTGAGGAGGCCAACTTGTTAGTATAATGAATGATTTAAGCCTTCTGGCCGAGGCCTCTTGGGGCGCCCTGGGTGCCTCTGGGGGGGGGGATCTTTGGGGCATCTTGGAGGCTTCGTGGGGCCTCCTGGGCAGCTCTTCGGGGCCGTCTTGGGGCACCTTTTAGAGCCTCGGGGGCCATCTTGGGGCCAAATTGGAGGAGATCAATCAAAGGCGGGCCTGGTTGACTGTCGGTCGACTGGGGGAGGGGTGTATATTCATAGGGAACAGTGATGAAACCCCTCCCCGAAGGGGAAGAAGGAGGGGTAGCAGTAGAAACTCTCTGAACCACTCACGCGCTGAATGGCTGGTGGGATGTTAATTTTTTGTGCTACAGTGCCGATCTGTATGGGGCCCGAGGGACTCTTCCGAGGAAGGAGTCCACCGGGTGGTCTCCTGCTTGGGGATGGGCCTCCCACGCGCCAGGGAGCTCGCCGACAGCGATTTCTTTGGTCAGGTGCTGAGACGATGGCAGGAGAGAGTATGCTATGGATCAAGGGGGAGGAGGGAGGCAGAATACGGGGGGAGGAGGCGGAGGAGAGCCGGGGGGGAGGGGAGAGGACGACGAGACGGGGGTAGGGGAAGCACGTGGAGGCTGCGGAGGAAAAGCCTGGGTACATCCCGTCCCGCGCCTTTCCGAGCACCGACCAGGCCGGCTTTGGCCTGAAGCAGATCAGGGAGATGACGGGCGTGAAGGCGCCGGCTCGTATCCTCCTTTTTTCCCCCATATCTTAAATGCGGGTCCTTTTTATTCGCTGGATCTCCCCCCCCACATGCATGCAGGCCCACTCGCACTCAGAGTCCCTCATGTTCAGACTCACTTATGTTCGCACCACTAACAGTCAGATGCACTCCTGTTCCTTGTCGTGTCCCTTTTACGCATACTCATTCTCGTTCATGCATGGCACACGCATCCAACATATTCTCAGTGTCCTGAATCTGATTTGGTTTCTATGCCCAACATTCTCTATGTATGTTTTGGTCGTTATCAGAGCGATGCATCCGCCTGCTTCTGCCCTACTTTTCATCGCCTGTCTTTCAGACTCACTCCACTCAGACCCCTTGCTCAGAGTCGCTCGGACTCCGACTCATATGCATTCATATTCTCTCATGCTCAAACCCACTCAGACTCAGTCTCACTCACTCAGTCCCGCTTATACTGATTTGCTCACTCAGAAATCCCAACTCAACCAACTTAACCTCATAATCACTCATACCCAGCCGTACTCAGGCTGACTCACATGTAGACTCGCTCACACTCAGACTCAGTCACACTCTGCTCGCCACTCGCACCCAGACTCGCTCACCTATGATAGCCGCAATGTAGCAGGCGTGGCATTTGGGCACCACCAGGGGTTCTTACTCTTGCACGTTCGTGCCCAGAAGGTGGGGAGGTCTCGGGCGAAACGCTGGTGTTGGCCTCCCCGACTCCTCTCCGGCCAGAGTCCCATGATCATTGCGATGTAGCAGTCGAAGCATTTGGTCACCCCAAGGGGGAGCGGCCAGGGAGTATTACACCTGCCCGTCCGCGCCCAGACTATGGGTACGTCTCAAGCGAAACACGGGGTTTTTGCCTCTCGATTTTCTTCGTTCGCAAAGCTTCACCGTGATGTGTCGCAGGGGGGTTACTCCAGATTTCGTAATAAAGGGAGGGGGGTCTCATTTCGGGGGGGGGTCTCTTCCAGGTTATCTTGGTGGGCCTGGGGGGTGTGGGGACGCTGTTTTGGAGGGTTCTCCCACGGGGGAGGTCTGAGATGGCTTGTCTTGGAGGGTCCAGACCCCCTCCCTTTTATTACAAAATCTGGAGTACACTTGCCTGCTCGCAGGCGGATTGATTGCAGGGCCGTGTTGAGCAAAAGGCTGGTTTCGTCCCCCCCCCCTCCGCGGGGCTTCTCTCCCTGGAGAGCCCCAGGATCACCGCGGTGCAGCTGGCAGGGTATTCGGTCACCCCAGGGGGGAGCCGACAGCATCACCCTCCTCTCCTCCTCCTCCTCCTCCTCCTCCTCCTCCTCCTCCTCCTCCTCCTCCTCCTCCCTCCTCCTCCTCCTCCGCCTCCTCCTCCTCCTCCTCCTCCTCCTCCTCCTCCTCTCTTGTCAGAGTCCCATGGTCACCTCGATCTAGCAGGCATGGCACTTGGGCTTCCCACGGGGGAGCCGCCAGGGGTTGCATCTCCGCCTCCCGCCCGGTTTGCCTTCCCTGACTGTCGCGCCAGCTCTGCATCATACGATGACTCCGACGGCTGATCCGTTGGAGGTCCTGGTTCACAACCACAACCTGTTCTGAGGGCGTGTGCACGATGATTTGAGGAAACACCTCCGAGACCCAGAATAGTCATCTACTGTACTACTGCCTCTACTCATCCATCTGATCATCCTAGTGCATGTGTTGGGTGCCTGCCGTGGAGTTCCATGCACGGCCAGCGCCCGTCACCGCCTCCTTGTTTCCACTTGTTTCTTCTTGCTCAGTTGTTCTTTCAGTCCGCCCAGCCCGCAGGAGTGCGCGCCTTGTCCTTCCCGGCCTGCTCGGGAGGATTCGGGCAGGCATAGCTGTGCACACCCTGCCATCATCATAACGTCCTTTCTACCATTGTCACAATTCTGGCCTTGCTAGAATATTCGGGTGGGACTCTGTGAGGTTATTGACTTGAGGCTGGTTTGCACACGCGCGAGCTCTACGCTCTTCTCCCCTCTGTCCCCCTTCCTCCATCTTTCAAGGAGGCTCGGGTGGCGCGATTCTTTTCTCTCTATATACACCGCAAAGGCATGACGGCTGATGTTCTACCTCTCGACGCCGCAGATGCATCGCCGATGCGCCGACGGTGCGGTGCGTTTCCGCGGCCGCGTCTAACCGACCATCACGCAGTCTGGTGAGCAAAAGGTGTTCCGAAGTTATCGGGCTGTTTTGGGACACTGGGCCGTTCTCCGAGGATGCCTCGGGCGCCCGGGGCCCCTCAAGTTCCCCAAACCGTGCGGTGGCTGACTGTGCGGTGAGGTCTTTCAGGAGTTCCGGGTCACCGCACGGTCTGTCGCCGCGCAGTTTTGGGTCATAACCGTCGGAGCCGTGACCTGCCCCCACTGGGCCAGGCCAGTCCGCTTTCCCAGTGCACCTCCTCGAGGCGCGTGGGGGGAAGCGGTCCCTGCGAGACCGGAAGGGGGTCGGCCACCGGGGGCCAGGGCTTCCCGTGTTGGGGGCGGGAATGCCTTGCTCGTCCAGACGCCGGGACCCTCAAGTCTTGGCGGCCTTCGCCTGCGCTCCCGGCTCCCCCCACCCGGTCTTTGGTCGCTGAGGGGTCCCCCATATATCAGGGGGAAAAGAAACACACAGGCACAATCCATCCTCGATTCCCCAGAACATATGGGAACATATTGGAGGGGGGGAAGACAGAAACACAGAACATATAGGAAAATACGGGGAATATTTCCCCATATCCTAAGATGGGGTTATTGTTATTACTCTGACGCCTCCTACTCCTCCTTCTCCTTCTCCTTCTCCTCCCCTCTCCTCCTCATACCCAGACTTACTCATACGCAGACTGACTCACACTCAGACTTACTCATACCCAGACTTACTCACACACAATATTACTCATACTCAGACCTACTCATACTCAGACCTACTCATACTCAGATTCACTCATGCTGAGACTCGCTCATACCCAGACTTACTCATACTCAGGCCTTCTCATTGTCTGACTTACTCTACACACAGCAGATTGTGAGGATGTCTCAGGCTGGGCGCTGGATTCAGCACCCCTAAGGGGAGCCGCCGAGGGGTATGACACGGTCCCGTTCGCGGCCGTTCTGTGGGGATGTCTCGAACGGTTTGCCTGTTTTCTGGCCCAACATCCTTCGCGTTCGGAGCAGATTTGGAGGATGTCTCGAGCGAGGCGCTCACGCCCCTAAGGGGAGCCGCCGAGGGGTATGACACGGTCCCTTTCGTGGCCGTTTTGTGGGGATGTCTCAAGTGGTTTGCTTGTTTTCTGGCCCAACATCCTTCGCGTTCGGAGCAGATTTGGAGGATGTCTCGAGCGAGGCGCTCATTTTCACGCCCCTAAGGAGAGCCGCCGAGGGGTATGACACGGTCCCGTTCGCGGCCGTTTTGTGGGGATGTCTCAAGCGGTTTGCCTGTTTTCTGGCCCAACATCCTTCGCGTTCGGAGCAGATTTGGAGGATGTCTCGAGAGAGGCGCTCATTTTCACCCCCCAGGTGGGCCAGATTTTGAGGATGTCTCGTTCGGTTTGCCTGTTTTGGTGGCCAGACTCGAGGGCACAGTTTCTCCTCAGGGTGCCACAGGATGCTCCATCAAGCTCCAGGAGGTCACTGGGGACCACATGAGGTCCCAGGAGGCATCAGGAGGCCACAGAAAGACTCAAGAGGCCACAATATGTCCCAAGACGCTCCAGGAGGCCCCAGGAAGCTCCAGGAGGCCTCAGGAAGCCACAGGAGGCCCCAGGAGGCCACAGGAAGCGCCAGGAGACTTCGGAAGGCAACAAGAGGCCCCGAGAGGCCCCAGGAGCAGGAGGCCTCAGAAGGCAACAGGAGTGGCTCCAATCCCATGTGTTTTACGTATGCTCCTATAGATTGGGCCTCACCTGGAGCACGAATCCTTGACGTTTTTTTTTTTTTTTTTTCTCTCTCTCTCTCTCTCTATAGATATATAGTCCTTCTCCTGTGAACGCAATCCTAAATGTTTTACTTATGTTCCTATATGTTGGGCCTCTCCTGGGGCACGAGTCCTTGGTGCTTTACGTGTGTTCCTATAGATTGCCCTTCTCCTGTGGCTCCAATCCGCAATGTTTTATGTACGTCGGTTGCTATATATTGGGCCTCTCCTGGGGCACGAAGCCTCCCTGGAAGGTCCCAGGAGGCCCCAGGAGGCCCCAAGAGGCTCCTGGAGGCCCCAGGAAGCCCCAGTAGGTTTCAGGAGGCCCCAGGAGGCCCCAGGCCCATGCGCAGAGACGCGCTCGTACTACTGAGGCTCATTCACACTCCAATTCATTCGCAGTTTGATTCATGACCAGACCGTCACAACTGAAGCCCGTTTATATTCGAAAGCTCTTGCGCCTAGACATTCACGGCGGACAGGTCCACGCGAATAGATGCACATATCGGGAGCTCCACGCAGTGAATCATTTTATTTGTGTGTATTTATTTGTGTATCCTAGGGCCCCTTCAACATGGGAAGCCTTCAGGAGTGTGTCTTCCGCTTGCACAGCGGCCGCCTCAAGGCATCCCGCAGTTCCCAGGGCCCGGGCGCCGGGCCCTAGGCAGAGATGCCGGGAACCTTCAGAGGAGCGCGTCCCGGGCGCGCGAGACGGCCTCGAGGCATCCCGCAGCTCCCAGGCCCTGGCCCGTGGGCGCCGCCGCGCGGCGCCGCGGGCGACCCCCCCCCACCTCTGTGCCCAAGCCCCCCCCACCCTCCTCCGCGCGCGGGGAGGTGAACGTGCAGGAGAGCGGCGGCGAGTCCGACGTCGAGTCCGCCCCACCGCGCCCCCGGCCCTGCCTTATGGAGGAGCAGTCGCTGGGGACGGAGGAGGAGGAGGGAGGAGGAAGGAGGAGGAGGAGGAGGCGCAGGCGCAGGCGGAGGCGGAGGCGGAGGCGGAGGCGGAGGCGGAAGCAGAAGCGGAGGCGGCGGAGGAAGAGGAGGAGGAGGAGGAGGAGGAGGAGGAGGAGGAGGACCCAGACCTCCAGAGATTCGAAATGGGGGAGTCCTCGTTTAGTTCGGAATTCCAAGTTCTTCGCAGTTGCTGGGCCCGGGTGCGGCCCCGGCGGCCCCTCTCCCTGTCCGTCGCCGCACGATTTGTTTCTCCAGTACAAGGTTCGTTTGCGGGCCTGGCGGGCGCCGTTCCCGTCTGCCGCCGCCGCCCCGTTGCACCCTCCCGTTGCAGTGCAATCGCATTGCGTTGCTTTGCAGTCGCATCGAATTTCTTTGCGTTGCTTTGCAATGTAATAGCTTCGCGTTGCTGTACATTGGTTTGCAATGCTTTGCATTGCATTGCATTGCGTTGCGCTGCTTTGCATCGCTTTGCATTGCTTTGCATTGCTTTGCATTGCTTTGCATTTCATCGAATGGCATCGCATTCCTTTACACTGCTTAACATTGCTTTACATTGCTTTCCATCGCATTGCATTGCTTGGCATTGCTCTGCATTGGTTTGTATTGATTTCCATCGCTTTGCATTGCATTGCTCTGCATTTCTTTGCATCGCATTGCATTGCTTTCCATCGCATTGCATTGCGTTGCTTAGCATTGCTTTGCATTGTTTTGCGTTGCGTTGCATGGCTTTACATGGCTTTGCATTGCTTTGCATGACTGTGCATGGCTTTGCATTGTTTTGTTTTTCTTTGCACCATATAGGTCGCGCCACATGTATTGCACCACCCAGATTGTACCACATGGCCTGCACCACCTAGACTGCACCGCGTATATTGCAAGACACGAATTTGGTGGGTCCAAGCTGGCTAACATGGTTCTGTTGTGTTTTGTTTGCTTGCTTGCTTGCTTGTTTGCTTGTTTTATATCGACTTACTCAGGCCGCGTGCGTGCCCCGGGACCGTCAAAAACCTCGCGTTGAAACAACCAGCCCCTGGGAAAAGGTCGAGAGGTCTGGGCCCCTGAGACTCGATAGTATCAAGTCTTCGGAGGACCGGGGAGGAGGGAGGAGGGGCCAGGGCTGACACTGGAGCTGGCGTTGGAGCCTGGGGACTGTGAGCCTTGTGTGTGTGTGTGGCCTTCCCTGGGCTCTTGCCTGCCTTCTGTTCTGGGAGACTGAGCTGGCGCGCGCTCGGCTGGGGTGCGTGCGACTTGGCACACATGTTTTCCAGATTTCGAAGCTCCCAGACGAGCAGTTCTAGCCCCCCCTCCCAGACCAGCCATGAAAGGGCGGCCTTTTGCCCAGACCCCCCTGGAACCCTCCAAGACAGCTCAAAGCAGACCGCCCCCCACATGTGACCCCCCAACTTATTATGGAGTCCGGAGTAGGGGGTGTGCTTCTTCCATCGACATCGTCTGGTGAGTTCGCCTGGCCACGGGGGTCCTGTGCCACGGGTCGTGGGCGGCTCGGTGTGACGTTTTGGGGATCTTTTGGAGCCTGCGCTGCCCCTTCCTCCTCCTCCTGCCCCTCCTCCTCCTCCTCCTCCTCCTCCTTCTTCCTCCCTCCTCCTCCTCCCTCCTCCCTCCTCCCTCCTCCCTCCCTCCTCCCTCCCTCCTCCCTTCCCCTCCTCCCTTCTCCCTCCTCCCTCCTTCCTCCTCCCTCGCCCTCCTCCCTCCTCCCTCCTCCCTCCCTCCTCCTCTCCTCTCCTCCCTCCTCCCTCCCTCCTCCTCCCTCCCTCCCTCCTCCCTCCTCCCTCCTCCCTCCTCCCTCCTCCCCTATCCCCGATCTGCATGGGGACGCGGTCACTGAGGTGGCGGTGGTGTGCACCATCGGGCAAGCCAGGTCGTGGATGGGGAAGACCAGTGCCGATTCGGCGCCTGCTCGATGAGGTCCTCGGGCGCCCACTGGCTCGGGCCGCTCTGTTTCGAGGTGGAGTGGATCACGATCGGAGGCCACTTGTCTGGAGGTGCCGTGCTGCGCCACTTCGGCGAGGCAGGCTCGGTGCGAGCCTGCACGAGCAGGAGCGCCCCCAGAGCAGGCCGACAGGCGTTGCGCGCCAGCCGCCACGGGTGGACGCTTGTGCGATGTGGCGGGCCGGCAGGCGCTGGCACTCCAGGATCCTTCTCTATTCGACGTTTCGGTATTTGAGGCGCAGCGGCTGAGCGGTCCGCGATTGTGCAAGTCGGCCTGCTTCGAGCGGCTCGTCCAGGAGGCTTTGGGGGTTTCTCCGGGGGCGAGCTCGTTGGTCTCCGATCGGGCTGCGCCCGCCTGGTCTTGTGGTACGCGCTACGGCTGATGGTTCGCAGGTGACGCCAGTGACTGGCTGGCCTCTGGCAGCGCCACGTTGGGCCACGCGTGGAACCGCTGTGGGCGTCTGTTTCCGCGGGCACCCGTGGATGGCGCTGGGTGAGGGGGCGGGGGGAGTGGCTCGGCGCTGAGCAGAGACAGACCCGACTCCCTTTCGCCATCTATAGGAGGCTTCGCGCTGCAAGCTGCTGGCGCTGACAAACTGTCCGCGTGCCTTTTGAGCAGTGTTGGCTGTGCTGGAGCAGTCCCACGAATGCTGCATGTTGCATGCATGCTTGCGTGTGTGTGTGTGTGTGTGTCTGTGTGTGTGTGTGTGTGTTCCGTGTCCTTCCTCCAGTCCTCCGCGCGGCCGCCCTAGTCCTTTTCCCCTTTCTTGCACGCCGGCCAATTCGCCATTCGGTTGCCCCGGTGGAGCAGCTCCTTTGCCTTGCCGCCGACGAAAAAGTGTGTTCCGTGTCAGTTTTGGCTTGAGCTAACGTTTGTTTTCTCACCCTCCCTCGCCTGGGGAGGGGCCCAGCGCTCACCGTGCAGCGGGTATGGGTCCAGGGCCGGCACTGAGCAGAGACAGATGCGACCCCGCTTGCGCCGTTCGGAAGAGGGTTTCGCGCTGCAAGCCGTGTCTTCGCTCGCCCCTTATCGGGAATGGAGGTGGATAGCGCAGCAGAGGCGGGCAGCGGGAGAGGCGGGCGCGAGAGAGAGGGAGAGAAAAGCAGGGGATAGGGTTCAACCCAGAATGGAAGGTCGCGGATGCGATGGGAGATGGGGTACGTACGTATGTTAAGCGAAGTGGTAACATGGCACAAACGAGGGAGAGAATGGGCAGGGCATGCAGATGAGAATTGGAGGGACGTCGTGGACTTGTCGTGTAGTTTGCTGTTCCAGAGAGAGGGAAAGGTCGTCGGTTGCGTGGGTGACTATGGCACAGCGAAAAAGAAAAAGGGCCGTGCATTCAACATGTCACAACGCACGGGCAATGAGGGAGAAAGAGCCCAGAGTAGAAGAGAACATCCTAGCATTGCCGCTGATGCCTTGTGGTCATATCCTGTCACCGCCAGAGGGAATTTGGTGGTAATGATGACCATGCTGCTGATGATGATGATGATGATGATGATGATGATGATGATGATGATGATGATGATGATGATGATGATGATGATGATGATACTGATGATGATGCTGATGCTGCTGATGATGATGATGACATCGAATGACGAGAGGATGAGGTTGAGGAGGGCCAAGGACGATGGAGCGACATGATGATGAGGAGGAGGAAGAGGAGGAGGAGGACTAGTTGAAACCAACACGCATCGACGATGCTGTAATACACCCTCTCTCCAAGAGCCCTCTTCATATGTCCCTACGAAAAATTATTTCCATGTCGGAAGGGGCCCATGGGAAGACAACCGTTCGAGAGTCCTTCATCGTGCCACAACACCGCTCCTGGGACTTCAACGCGAATCGACAAGGCTGTTGCGTCCTGACATTCTGGAACCGTGTTATAACATCATTCCTGGGACTTCGGCCACAGGAGTTTTTTTTGCTAAGACGAATGTGCGCGGCGTTGAGGCTAGAGACACATTTTGAAAAGGAACCGCCCTCCATCCGTGAAGCTGTTGCAAACTTTAGAGAGAATGTGCGAGGCGCTAGGACGAGGGCCAAATTTTGAAAACGACCCGCCCTCCATCCTTAAACTGCTGTCAATCTTAATGACGAGTGTGCTCAGCGCTAAGGCGAAAGCCACATTTGAGATCGAGCCGCCCTCCATCCTTGAAACTGCTGCCATATTTTAAGGACGAGTTGGCGCGGCGCTAAGGCGAGAGCTACATTATGTAAACGACCTACCCTCCATCCTTGCCACTGTTGCAAATGTCAAGCTTCACGATCGTAAGCGGCGAGGACGTTTCAGGCGACCCGCCCGGCCCGCCCCACCAGCACGTCTGGAGCTGTGGCAGGAAGGGGTCACCTGCAAGGAACATGGATACATGGAATCGAGGAGGATGAGGACGAGGGGGAGAACGAGCCGGAGCAGGTGGAGGAAGAGGAGCAGCAGGAGGACTTAACAAGGAGGAGGATGAGGGAAACCGAGAGGCGGAGGATGCGCCAAACGAGGAGGATGGTGACCTGGGAGGGATGAGGGAGGAGGAGGAGGAGGAGGAGGAGGAGGAGGAGGAGGAGGAGGAGGATGTGGAGGAGGGAGTGTGAGGGGAAATATGAGAAGGTGGAGGATAATAGGCGGAAGAGGGAGCAGTAGGAGGGAGGAGGAGGAGAAGGAGGAAGAGGAGCAGGCGGAGAATGAAGGAAAGGAGAGAGGGATAGAGAGAGAGAGAGAGTCTGAGAGACAGAGCTAGGAAAGAGAGAGAGAGAGACAAAGAGAGAGAGAGAGAGAGAAAAAAAGATATTGAAATATAGGAACGAGAGAAAGGGAAAGAGAGAGAGAGAGAGAAAGAGAGAGAGGAAGCAGCGATCAGCGAGGAGGAGGAGGAGGAGGTGGAGGCGGATGAGGGAAGAGGGGGGAACGAGGAAGAGAAGGACGAGGGGAGGAGGAGGAGGAGGAGGAGAAGGAGGAGGGGAGGCGCAGCAGGAGGAGGAGGCGGAGGAGGAGGAGGCGGCGGAGGAGGAGGAGGAGGAGAGAAGGAAGAGGAAAGACGCGGTGGAGGTACATGTCCGAGTATGTTGCGCAGAGTAGCGATTCTTGAAGTGCTTGTTGCGTTTTGTGTGTTTATTTGGCGCCCGCCTGAGGTCACGCCGTATGGACATCAGCGGGTCAACGGTGGGGGGGGGTACTTCCTCTCCTCCTCATTCTTCCATTTCTTTCTGCTCTTTCCCCTCTCCATCGAGTGTCGAGGTTTGGATGCTTCTCGCCTCTTGTGAGCCTCGGGGGGACCTCTCGATGCCACGGCTGGATTCCCCTCGAAAGTCTGGTCAAATGTACCCCTGGAGAGGTGTGGGGTGGATGTCATGAGGACGAGGATTATGACCAGTGTAAGTCCAAGGGTCATCAGCGATTTTGGAATAAACCCTCCCTCCAAGCTCCCTCTTCTCAGGCTCCTATAAGGGTTCATGCCCACTGAGGGAAGTGCCCCGTTGGCGGACAACCGTTTGAAGATCCCGAAGCTTGCCAACACACCGTTATCCGGACTCCAACGCCACGTGTCAACTGGACTGCTGCGTCTGGACGATCCTGAATCGCTCCAGAATGTGAATCCTGGAACTTTAACACAGCGCATCCACGTAACTGTTGCATCGTTCCACAAGGCCGTTTCTGGTGCCTTAGCCATGCGAACCCGTGACACTTGTTGTATTTTTGAAGACGAGTGTGTGCGGCGCTGAGGTGTTAACTGCATTTTGAAAACGGCCCGCCCTCAACTCGCCTTTACGACCAGCGTCGGGTTGCGACAGGGAGGAGTCATTCAGAAGGAAACCGAGTTGAAGTTTATGATAATGACGATGTTGATACTGATGATGATGATGATGATGATGATGATGATGATGATGATGATGATGATGATGATGATGAAGATGATAGTCATGATGATGATGATGATGATGATGATGATGATGATGATGATGATGATGATGATGATGATGATGATGATGATGATGATGATGATGATGATGCTGATGCTGATGATGATGATGATGGTGGTGGTGGTGGTGATGATGATGATGATGATGCTGACGATAGAAGGCCGCCGCGCGCTCAAGCCTCCAGTGACACACCTCTCCTCAGAAGAGCCCTCCATTGTTCGCCAAGAGGCAGAGAGCACACTGCGATGGCAGCTCGCACGGATGCCAGCTCCGGAGTTGCGCCTCGTGCGGCATGTTGACGCGTTGCATGCTGAGGCCGGTTGAGGAGGTTTCCCACAAGTGGGGGCAGCGTTACAAAAACAACCGCTGCTTATGCGCCACACATCCAACGAGCACACCGAGCAGCAGCTCAAGCAGCTCGACGGCGCCGAGAAGAGAAACTGGTGGCGGCAAAGGCGGCGTACGAGCTGCTTGCGAAGTTCTTGGCAGCGATTCGGCGCAACCAAGGCGAGAAGGTGTACGACAACCACAAGATCGAAACCAAGGGTCAGGTTGCCATCGTCATGGGGAACTACCACCTCACCTGCGCAACTTACCGAACGAAGTCCAAAGCCGAGTGTCACTTCCAGTGCCGCCGTTGCGACGATGGCAACGTTTGCATCTTCTTGCGTACTGTCAAAGAGATCTACTACTTCACTTGTGCCGCCAACGCAGAGTAGTCTAACATCTTGTACGTCGTTGAGTACCACGGCTGCGACGACGGCAACGTGCGCATCTTCTTGTACTTTCGTTCCGCGCAGTTCGTGCTCACGCGGAAGGAGTCCGAGAATTCACAGCAGGAGAACCTGAAGGCGGAGCACGAGCTGCGCGCGAAGCTCATGGACGAGGTGCTGGGGGACGCACTCAAGGATGACGTTGCCAACGTCGCTGGAGCGGAGCAGTACCGTGAGAGGCGCTGCGACGAGCCTTTCGCCGACATCGTGCGTTACGGAGTGCGCAGTACCACAGGAGGCACTGTGACGAGCCCTTCGCCGAGACTATGCGCTGCAGAGTGGAACAGTACCATGGGAGCCACTACGACGAGCCCTACGTCGACATCGTGCGCTACGGAGTGGAGTTGTCCCGCAGGAGGCACTACGACGAGCCCTTCGCCGACGTCGTGCGCCGCGGAGCGGGGCAGTACCACGTGAGGCACTACGACGAGACCTTCGCCGACATCATGCGCTACGGGGCGGGGCCAAGTTTCAGAAAGCTCAGAGCAGGGGCGTGCGGAACGGCGCGCGCCGTCAGTCTCAGCAGCTTCTGTCTTCGCCTCTAGGCCAGACCCCCCAGCAGCTGCCGACTCGGGGTCGGCAGGACGTGCGCAGCCGGTCTCAGAAGACTCAGAGCTGGAGCATGCCGCAGGGCATGCGCCGCCAGTCCTAGAAGACTCAGAGCTGGAGCATGCCACGCAGTATCAGCAGCTTTCATCTTCTTTTCTGGGCTAGCCGACTCGAGGGTGGCAGGGCGTGCGTTGCCAGTCCCAGCAGGCCCATGGCAGGGGCGTGCCGCAGGGCGTGCGCCGCCAGTCCTAGAAGATTCAGAGCTGGAGCATGCCGTGGGCGTGCGCCGCCAGTCTCAGCTGTTTCTTTCTTCTTGCCTGGGCCAGCAGACTCGGGGTCGGGCGGGCTGGCGCAGCCAGACTCTGCAGCTTCATTCCTTGCGACTGGACCAGGCGGCCCAGCGGCTGCCGACTCGGGGCCAGTCCATCCGTATGTGCCCGAGGGCACGCGCGTTCAGCTCTCGAATCCGAGAGCTATCCAGATGCAAGCATGATTCCCCCCTGAACGAAATGCCTCACGAGGGGGCTTGCGCGGCCAGCCTGAACCATGGTCTTGTCTCCAACCTCCGATCCTCCCAACGCTCAGCATGCAGCGCGGGCATCGCCAACTGTCTACGATTTTCCCTGGGCCGCGCGCGCATGTGTGCAGCGCCCCGTGGGGCACGGATCCTAGCGAGCTCTTTGGGGAGCAATCGAGCGCTCTGCGACGGATCATTCTTTCCTCTAAATCCTGATGCTCAACAGTTTGGTCCGGATGTCGAGAAAAGAATGATGATAGTGGTGATGATGATGATGGTGATGGTGATGATGGTGACGAGGAGGACGAGGATTACCAGTGTAAACCCAAGAGTCATCCACGATGTTGGACTCATTTCTCCCTCCAAGCTCCCTCCCCATAGGCCCCATTCATGGGTTCATTTCTTCTTAAGGACGTGACCTGTTGGGAAACAGCCATGTGAAAGTTCTGAAGCGTGCCAAGAAACCATTGTTAGGACTTCGACGCCACGCATCCACCTGACTGTTTCGTCATGACGATCCTGAGTCGTGCCAGCGCACCACTCGTGGGACTTCGACACCGCGAATCAGAGTAGCTGTTGCGCTCTGACAGTCCCGAATCGTTGGAAAACACCGTTTCTGGAAAGGTTAACCGTGCGACTCCGCGAAGACCCGGGAGCCGTTTAAAGCGAATGTGCTCGGCGCCTAAGGTAAAAGTCACAGTGTGCATGCATTTTGAAGGTTTTGCATGTGTTTCCAACGGATGTGCGCGACGTTATGGCGAGAACCGCATTTTGAAAACGGCCCGCTCTCAAGCCGAGAAAGTCGTGCAAGTATTTAGGACGAGTGTGCGCGGCGCTGAAGCGAGAGCCATGTTTTGACAACGGCCCTTTCCCAATCCGTAAAACGCTTGCACATTTTTGTAAGCGAGTGTGCGCGGCGCTAGAGCGAGAACCGCATTTTGAAAACGGCCCGCCCTCAATCAGTGAAAGTCGTGCATGTTTATGACGAGTGTGCGCGGCGCCGAGGCGCGAACCACATTATGGAAGAGACCCGTCCTCAATGCGTGAAACTGTTGCCAGGGTCTGATCTGCAGGCTCATAGATGGTATGGAAGTTTGAGCGCTCAGGCTCATCGACGCACGGCCCGCCCTTCCGACCAGCCTCGGGGTGCGACAGCGAGGGGTCCTTCATGAGGAGAAGGAACGGAGGAAGTTGCGGATGATGATGATGATGCTGATGATGCTGATGATGCTGATGATGATGATGAGGATGAGGAGGATGGTGATGATGGTGATGATGATGATGACGACGACAAGGAGGAGGAGGAGGAGGAGGAGGAGGAGGAGGACTTGGATGATGATGATGATGACGATGATGATGCTGATGATGATGATGCTGATAATGCTGCTGCTGATGATGATGATGAGGATGAGGATGCTGATGATGATGATGATGATGATGATGAGGAGGAGGAGGAGGAGGAGGAGGAGGAGGAGGAGGAAGAGGAGGAGGAGGAGGAGGAGGAGGAGGAGGAGGAGGAGGAGGAGGGAGAGGGGGACGCTGTGCGCCTTGAGCCTTTCTGGCAACACTGACAAAGATTGCGACTCCGACGCGTGTCTCGAACAGCGCAGACTCAGAATTTCATAATGATGATGATGATGATGATGATGATGATGATGATGATGATGATGATGATGATGATGGTGATGCTGATGGTGCGGCTGATGATGATGATGATGGTGATGGTGAGGATGATGAGTAAGAGGAGGATGCAGATGCGAATGTGGATGCGGATGACGATGATGGTGATGATGATGATGCTGATGATGCTGATGATGCTGATAATGATGGTAATGATGATAGTGATGATGATGACGATGATGATGATGGTGCTGAAGATGATTATGATGATGCTGATGATGATGCGTATGATGCTGCTGGTGATGATGTTGATGATGGTGGTGATGGTGATGATGATGACGATGATGCTGATGAATGCGGTGATCCTGTCAACAATACAGATGATGGTGCATATTGACGTGTTGATGCTGGAGGTGATGATTATGAGACTGATGATGATGCTGATTATGATGATGGTGGCGATAGTGGGTGGACTTGTGACGATAGGGAGGATTATGATGAATACACAGACGATGACTACACTGCTTATGATGATGCGGATTATGCTGCTGCTGTTGATGCTGATCATGGCGATGCGGATGCTGTTTATTCCCAACCATCCTGTGGTGTTGGGTCCTCGTTTTGACGAGACGGTGCCCCGCGTTCCTCTCCTCCTCTCCTCTTCTCCTCCTTTTCCCCCTCCTCCCTCCTCCCATCAGCATCATCATCATCATCATCGTCATCATCATCGTCATCATCATCATCACCATCATCATCATCATCATCATCATCATCATCATCAACATCGTCATCACCCACCATCATCGTCATCATCACCATCATCGTCACACCTCTCACACGTTTCGTGGCCCCATAGGGAGCTCCACCGAAGGCCCCAGTGCTGCCGCCCGCATGCGTCAGCCACACCCAATTCGGCATACCCCTCACACGTTTCGTGGCCCCATAGGGAGCTCCACCGAAGGCCCCAGTGCCGCCGCCCGCATGCGTCAGCGGGCACACCCCTCACACGTTTTTGGCCCCATAGGGAGCTCCGCCGAAGGCCCCAGTGCCGCCGCCCGCATGCGTCAGCCAGGCACACCCCTCACACGTTTCGTGGCCCCATACCGAAGGCCCCAGTGCTGCCGCCCGCATGCGTCAGCCACACCCAATTCGACACCCCTCACACGTTTCGTGGCCCCATAGGGAGCTCCACCGAAGGCCCCAGTGCTGCCCCGCATGCGTCACCACACCCATTTCGGCACACCCCTCACACGTTTCGTGGCCCCATAGGGAGCTCCACCGAAGGCCCCAGTGCCGCCGCCCGCATGCGTCAGCCACACCCAATTCGGCACACCCCTCACACGTTTCGTGGCCCCATAGGGAGCTCCACCGAAGGCCCCAGTGCTGCCGCCCGCATGCGTCAGCCACACCCAGTTCGGCACACCCCTCACACGTTTCGTGGCCCCATAGGGAGCTCCACCGAAGGCCCCAGTGCCGCCGCCCGCATGCGTCAGCCACACCCAATTCGGCACACCCCTCACACGTTTCGTGGCCCCATAGGGAGCTCCACCGAAGGCCCCAGTGCCGCCGCCCGCATGCGTCAGCCACACCCAATTCGGCACACCCCTCACACGTTTCGTGGCCCCATAGGGAGCTCCACCGAAGGCCCCAGTGCCGCCGCCCGCATGCGTCAGCCACACCCAGTTCGGCACACCCCTCACACGTTTCGTGGCCCCATAGGGAGCTCCACCGAAGGCCCCAGTGCCGCCGCCCGCATGCGTCAGCCACACCCAATTCGGCACACCCCTCACACGTTTCGTGGCCCCATAGGGAGCTCCACCGAAGGCACCAGTGCTGCCGCCCGCATGCGTCAGCCACACCGGCACACCCCTCACACGTTTCGTGGCCCCACTCCGCCGACCCCAGTCCGCCCATGCGTCAGCCACACCCCTCACACGGTGGCCCCATAGGGAGCTCCACCGAAGGCCCCAGTGCTGCCGCCCGCATGCGTCAGCCACACCCAATTCGGCACACCCCTCACACGCTTTCGTGGCCCCATAGGGAGCTCCACCGACGGCCGCAGTGCCGCCGCCCGCATGCGTCAGCCACATCCAATTCGGCACACCCCTCACACGTTTCGTGGCCCCAGCCCGCATGCGTCAGCCACACCCATTTCGGCACACCCCTCACACGTTTCGTGGCCCCATAGGGAGCTCCACCGAAGGCCCCAGTGCCACCGCTCGCATGCGTCCCGCACACCCATTTCGGCACCTCCACCAAACACAGCGTTTCGTGGCCCCACAGGGACCTCCACCGAAGGCCCCAGTGGTGCCGCCCGCATGCGTCACCCCCACCCCAGCACAGCATTTCGTGGCCCCACAGGGAGCTCCACCGAAGGCCCCAGTGGTGCCGCCCGCATGCGCCACCCCCACCCAGCACAGCGCTTCGTGGCCCTACAGGGAGCTCCACCGACGGCCCCAGTGGTGCTGCCCGCATGCGTCACCCCCGCCCAGTACAGCGTTTCGTGGTCCCACAGGGACCTCCACCGAAGGCCCCAGTGGTGCCGCCCGCATGCGTCACCCCCACCCAGCACAGCGTTTCGTGGCCCCACACGGAGCTCCACCGAAAGCGGCACCCGCAATGCGATATTCACAACTGCACATGGTTGGGTCCTTCGCCAGGATAATGATGATGGGGATAATGGTGACAGTGATGATGCGGATGGTGAGGAGATGGATGAGGAGGCGGACGATGAGAAGGAGGAGGTGGCGTAGGAAGAGGAGGAGGAGGAAAAGGAGGTGGA